ACACACACACACACACACACACACACACACACACACACACACACACACACAAATTCAATCAAGCAGCTGTCAGAGGAAAGACCCAAATCTTCCAGCACTGAGAAAGGAGACAGAGAACTCAATTCCGTTTCTAGTCCAGATCTTTCTAGGTAGATAGCGCCATTTTCCATCTGGTAGAGCTTGTGAATTACAACTGAGCTGATTCCCATTTCCAGGGTGCAGGCCCTTATCGCAGAAGGCCCACCTGTCACCAGCCTGCCCTTTTCTGCAGAGGCTAAGGAAAGGCCAGTGAGTGACAGCTGGAGCTGAGACAGTGCAGGTCTCCTCCCTTCCCAAGCAGCCTCCAGGGATGGAGCGGCACCTGCCAACGGCGTGTTTGTTCCTTGTTCCTTCCTTCCTTGGGCACTTGGTTACCTGATACTTTTTGGTGATCATACTGTTACTATTACCATGTAGATGTCCTTTGGAAAGATGGGTAAGTCAGCTCAGCAGCTGATAACTAATATAGACTAAAATATGCCACATAACTTATTTCAGAGTTGTGGGTGAAGGATCCCTCTTTAGAGAGTCTATAAATCCCTAGCGACAAGTTGACACCATTTATTAAGTTCTATTTGATGACATTTGGGTACTGGCGCATGAAGTCTGCCAACGCTGATGAAATTACAAAGCCAAAGGAGCCATGGGGTCAACCAGCTTCTGAGAGCAGAGTTCCAACAATGTCCGCTGGTCGGATGGCTCCGCAGGTAAAGGCACTTGATCACATGGCCTGGGTTCCATCCTCAGGTCCCATGAGGTTAAAGGAGACAACTGACACCCACAAGTTGTCCTCTACCATCCACAAGTGAAAGATGGCACATGCACACACACACACACACACCATACATGCACACACACACCATACATACACACACACACATACACACACAATCACATACACACATACACACACACCATACATGCACACACACACATACCATACATACACACACAATCACATACACACATACACACATACACGAACACACACACACATAAAACACATACACATATGCACACACACACATACACACAGGCACACACATACATGCACGCATACACACACAAATAAATAAATGTACATTTTAAAAACATTTAATAGTTTCAACAATGTGGCTACTTTTAACCAGAGAAATGTTATATGAAGATAATTAAAATACTCCCCCCCCTCACACA